TGTGTACTGTATTTAAAACTTTGGCCTTGACACTCCTAGTGAAGCCCTTAGCCGTTCTGCTAATACAAGTAATAACAAAGATCTCTGAAAGATAAGGCTGGCTAATAATGCTAAAAGTGTGTTAAACATGTAATGAGTCATGTCAAAATGAATATGCAGTAATTGTGTTTTCTTTTGTTGTAATTTTTTGTCTGCAGAGTTTAGTAATAGGAAGCAAGACTCCCATCTCTGTTTCTTACTGGTGGTGGTTTGTCTGTAAACCCACCTTGTCAATTCTCAGTTGACTCATTTCCAGTATGTATCCCACAGTATTTCTCAGGTCACTCTTCTAAAACCTAATAAATATTTGCTTAGTGGCATTTTATAATATATATTTTTTGCGTGATTCTGAAAGTTTCAATTCTGCTTTTCTTTTTTCTGAAGAAATTATGTGCAGAAGAAGTGTTTCTTAAGGGATTTAAAGTGTGCTGTTTACTTTCACAGCTGTGTTGTGTACTTCATGTAGTGAATGTAGGCTGGAAGAAGCTTGCAGTACAACTGAATATCTGAAATGTCAGGTTAACTTCATAGACATCATTTAAAAAAATGATTCTATAGATCTTTTAATGGTCAGAATTTATAGATGCTGCTGTTGCATAGTCACATTCCCCATATACTGAGCTTTTTATAATTGATCTGGTCATGCTTTTCCTCACTAGTCTCATCTATGTGTGGCAGAAAACCTAGTAATCTGTAAATTGTATGGAGGAAAGAGCAGGTTAGAGACTGTCCCTTGCCATCTGATATTTGAGTGCTCCTGTATGCGCCATATATTAGTTTTATTTTCCATCATGACACCTAGCTATGAGGGAAGAACTCTCCAGAGCATCTTAAAAGACAACTTCTATTAAAGATGAAAAGAGTTAAGCAAAATGCAGACAATAGATCTCACAGCTAGAGGTGAAAATAATATACACGGGTGTCACTAAAGCTTTAATTGGATGAGAGGTGTGAGAGCATGGAGGTCCCTGCAAGAATGTTGCTTAGACTGCTTGGCACAAGTTGAATGGGGAAAATGAAGATAGGTGGAAAACAGACCCTTCTGTCAAAGCCCTGCCAAAATACTTGGAAAATACCCAGAAAAATAAATGACTATGATGTTTCACACCGTATTCCCTAGTGGAAATAATTTTCCCTGTGAGGAAACAGAAGTCCAGATGGGTGAGGGACAGACAGGCCACCGTGGCACTGGAGATGGATGTAAGGGCTCCCTGGGCAAGATTCCATTTGAGAAGGAGAAGCAAATGAGAAAATAGGCAGGGCACCTAATTAGGCATCTATGGAAAGTGCTCTGATACAGGCTGTGCATCTGTCTGGTGCCTTGCTAGTCAAAAAAGGCCCAGTGTACAAAAGCCTAGCCCTCCCTTTTTCTCCTGGGACAAATTCCACCTGAGAAACATAAACAAAACAGAACAACAACAAAAAATACGGGAGAGAAAAAGGCACTGAAAACTTAGGACAAATTCTACCTGAGAAACAAAAACAAAACAAAATAACAACAAAAAAGAATACAGGAGAGAAAAAGGCACTGAAAACTTAAGTGTAAATTCAGTAATGAGCTGTTGGATAAGGACTGCAGCAAATATAGTGCTCTTGAGTATTTCAGATGGCTCCCTGGAAATAAACAGACCATCATAAATTTTACTGAAATCAGGTTTTGTTTTATTTGGTTGGGCCTGTCGCCAACGGCGCCTGGCCTCTGTTTTGGCCTCGTGAGTGCTTGGCTGGGTACGGCCGCGTGGCTGGAGGAGCGGGAAGCACCAGGGCTGGTGAGTCCTGCTGCGGAGCGCCCTGCCCGCGGAGCCCGCGTGCGCTACGGGATGCAGGTGGTAGCTAGAGAACTGCCTGCATGTTTGTAGGAACTGAGGATGCAGGTTACTTACCCTTGTATTCAGAGTCTGTATTTTGACAGTTGCCTATATTGCCCAATTTTTTTTATTGGATTTTTTTTTTTCCTCAAAGAGGAAAAGTTGAACTATTTGCTCTTGCTGTGTGTGATGTTCCTGCTACAGAACCCACATCTTTTCAATGTCGGGCAAAGTGATTCCTGCATGCAAACACACAAAGAGGTATATAATTAAGCTTTACCTAGTGCAATCTGAGAAAAGATGTCTTTTAAATGTGAACCACATACATCATTATTAGTGCAGCTGGCCCGTTGCCCATCAAAGCACTGATTATTTTCTACAACAGGTACTCCAGTTCCTCTGCTTTTTCGGTTTCCTGTTATCCCATGCAGACATCTGCAGTCCCTTTGCCAAATTTCTTAATACGTCATGGCTCTCCAAACACGTAGGAAGAGGATTTATCAGCACTGCAGCAGTTAATTGCTTTAGCTCTCATATGGCACTGTCCTTTGAACAGTGGAAATGCAGAAAGGGTGCAAATACTGTTGGAAGTGAATCAGGGTGAAAGTTGGTCTGTCTTGGTGGGGAAGTTAAGAAAACTATTAGTGCTTCTGTTAACTTCCACCTCCTTTTTGAAATGAAAACTACTATGCTTGAGTATAACTGACTTATTTTCCTCATCTTGGCCTTTCTGAGTGCATTTACTTACTGACTGTTAGCCCTAGTCTAGGTACTCGAATAAACGTTGCCTGAGTAAATTTGTTCTTTGCATCCCATCCCCTTCCACATATGCTTCCCAGAGGAGCTCCTTCAGCCAGATGTATTGAAGGAATAATTATTTCATCAGGATTTAATATATATCTTGATTGCACTTTGAAGAGATTCTCTTGAGCTGTTTTTATCATTTTAACAAGGAATCATAGCATGTAAACAAGGAAATAAACATTATCTTTCATATTAATCAAGAAGATGATTAAATACTAACCACAACCGTTAATTGGTACTTGGAGATAGAGAGTAATGACTGTCTTGAGTTCCAGAATGGGAGTACCAACAGGTAGAGACTCTTTTCTGCATAATAAAGCTGCATATTTAGGAGACATTATGGTTTTAATGTGCAGCTGCAACCATAGTGAAGTTGTGCGTGATTTGCCTGGTGTCCTATTTCAGGTGTATGTTTTGATATCGTGCTGATTTCAGGATGCAGCAGGAGTAAAATGCTGCTGCTTTCCTTAAACACAAGAGCCCTGCTCGTCCATCACAAGTCAGTGGTTTATGGCTCCCTCTGAGATTGGAACCAGAGCCTGACTTTTTGCTCACTTGAGTCTTTGTCCTTTTCTAAATACCACCATGCTTGCAGAGGGAGAAGGAAGCCTGTGGGGGTCTGTGTCTCTCAGAGTTAATGAAGGAGGAAGGTTCAGGAGTTTAAAGCATAGGTTTGGACATTTAGAGCAGAAAACTATGAATTTTGGAGATTTGTATTCTAAGTCTTGCCCATTTGTGTAATTTCAAGCCAGGTGACTCATTTTGCTCCTTGGGATACAACCAGTGCTTTGTACTGTAACTCATTTGAAGCAAGTACTGCTGCTGGAAGAAACCATGCAGCTCTCCTGCTCTCAACATTCATTTTGCTTCTATTATCCCCCCAAAAGAAGCAAAGGAATAATTTACTTGTCTGATCAGCCTAGTGGGTTGACTCAGTCTGAGGCTGTTTGATTACTGGATTCAAGGCAAGGTTGGTGGTTTAGATTTAGCCTGAATTAGGTGTGACAGCACTGCCTTAGTTTCCCCATCTGTCTGTTGCCTACAGTAATTACTTCCCAGCTGTTGAGGCTGGCTCCTTCTGACTAAGAAGTACCTTGTGATCCTGCGCTCAAGATCGTGATAAAAATGTAAAGCATCTCCTGTATAAAGATATTTTTTGTGGTCATATATACTAATGTAAACATAAACATAAAGGAAGCTATCCAAAGCGACAAAGCTTTGTGTTGCAAGCACGGATCAGAAGAGTGTTTTCACCCACTGAACCTGTTGATGTCAGTGCCATGGTCTCAGGTCACAGCTGCTGGCGGGGTAGCACTTCGAGTTGTTGGTGGTCTTACAGTCATTCAAAGAAATGCTCAATGATAGGATGGCGGATGCTTTCGTGATTAGCATCCAAGGGTGGGCTATCTACTGACTGCCTCTGGGTCAGATTGCTCCTTCCCTATTTCAGCTGACAAAACTTTTCCTTGGCTTTGGCAGAGCTGAGATTTCTCCTCCACCCAGTTGATGGTGGTTCCCCAGCGCATGGTTGCTGACATGTATTTCTTCTGCTTAACTCTGCAGGCTGATTTTTCCTGTACAGGTTTTGATATAGAGTTGAGATTCTATTTTTGTTTCTTGCTAGACTGTTTAGTGTTGCTGTGGGGAAATAGCAGAAACACTGATTACATGCCTATTTTTATTCACAAGGAAGAATGTTGCAATTATAATAGCATATTTTAATTTTTTCTTCATCTTTTCTGTTTTGAAATTCTGCATTTCAAAAGCAGCGTCATTATCACTTAGAACATTAAAACATGTCTCTTTAATAGCTTTCCCTTTTAATGTGGAAAAATGGAATTGAGGAGGAAAAACCAATCTGTCTGGAAGGAAATTACCTAATGATTTCAGTGCAGCCAACAATAGAGTATCTTGAGCTCAGCTGACTTGGAGTGTCATTCTCTGTCTTGAGTAACTTGTAGCATACAAAACATCACTTCTATAATAATATCGCCAACATATAGTCCATCTGGTCTTGACAGTGACAAGGGAATTATTTCAACTTTTTATGATGTCACTGAGATTTTAGCATTTTAGGATTCAACTGCGAAGCTGTTGGAGGAAGAAGGGGAAGTTAGATTATAATTGAAACTCCGTTGGGGGAGAAATTAATTGAATATTTTGCCTGTAATTTTTCTACACGTTTTTCCTTCTGATAGTCTCCTGATGGTGTGTTCCTTTGAAAGCTGATTAAATAAAATGACTTGATTTGTTAAACAGACAGTGGTGACAATGAATATCTGGTTATCTGGCCCAGACTGCGGTTGACGCTCAGTAATGCTGTCCTTTCTTGCTATTACTTTTATACAGAGCAGCCCAGAAGCTTAACCTGTCTTCGAAGAGAAAGAAATACCATCCTCCCCTGCCACACACCCATGACTTCTCCATCTATGGCTCTAACTTCAGTGGCATCCTGCAGCTCTGCCCGCCCCCCGCACCACCATGCCTTCTGAGAGCCGTGTCCAAAATCAAGGACAACCCTGGCATTGGAAAGGTAACTTGAGATTTCAGTTATGTTAACATTAATTTTCTAGATTAATTTCAACAGCTCAAGGGAATGGTTGCGAGACAGAGACAGACACATCTGTGAACCTGCCTGAGGCTGTTACTTTGACTCAAGAGCTGGTGGTCCCACAGCAGATTCACTGCGCAAGTGTCAGCTGCATTGAGCTGATGGGCATCACTAGCAATGGTTTTAATAAAAGGTGTTTGACTTTCCTGCTGTTGAAGAAAGCACAAAAATTTTGCTTTGACTTCATTGATCCAAACCCATTGCACATGTATGGGCTTCACCTTTGGCAGAAGTAGTCTCTGCATTGCCTGCAAAGCTCAGCCACTGGTGCTGTCTCGTATGAATTGAGGGAACATGTTGAGTATGTGTGGCTGAATACTTACTTATATAGGTTATTTGGCATGAGCACTGGAAGGTGGAACTGAGGTACCTAATATGCACAGGAGAGCTAAAATGTGCACCTTCACAAACCATACCGCACAGCATTAAAATAAAGAAATTTACAGCCAAAATACCTGTAACTGATATTGTTGTTTGAGAATGCTTTGTATTCTCGTAAGTTGGTGAGTTTGTGCTGAATGGAAAAACAGTCACTGCATTGTTTTATGAACTCACAGGTGAAAATACGGTTTCTGCCACTGTTTTTCTAGTATGTTAGAAAGGAGGATGCAATATTATAAAATACAGAAAGCATGGAACAGTGGCTTAGAGATATTAATGTGCCAGAACCATTGAATAAGAAACACCTTTTTTGCACGTGTGTTTTAGAAGAGACCATTTGCTCTGTCTTCGCACTACGGAATGGTCTTAAGGAGGTTCTTCAAGTGTGTTTGCATCACCCTATGCCTGCAGTTCAAAGAACTGTTTCTCTGCACGTCACAGCACTTCTGTGCCTACAGCTGTGTGTAGCCAAGCGACTTTGGCCTTTTTCCTACATTCTCAGGGTGGTTTGCATGTGCGTGTCATAGAAAGCTCTGGTTTATCTGATGTCTTCAGATAGATTAACCAAGTCTAATATAGATCAAGTGCATGGTTCCAGATGGCAAGTAATTATACGTTTTGGATCGTGTGGTCTACCTACATTTTTAATCAGTAAGCACAGCTGAGGTCTGATCAAAGAGAAGAGCTCTACTGGAATGCCTGGGAACATGGTAGGACATTGAGCCAACCCAGGGACCAGGGTTGTGCCCGCAACCTGTTCACCTGAAGGAGCTTATAGTCCAGCATGAGACGTATGGAGCATTTTGACAACGTGAGTGGTATCTGTCTGTTGCCAGACACATGGCAGGGAGGATTTCATGGATTTTTGATTTGATGAGTCGCTGTGGACCCTCAAAAATTTCTTGTTTAGCTCTCAACTGAAAGCATTGTTGAAGGTAAAGTTTGTTGGGCCTAGGATTTGAGCTGTGGACTTCTCACCAGATGCCTGTTAACCACTGTTTAGAAAACCACTGTGCTGTGCTGCAGGGGATAAGAGCAGTATTGCTGCTACTTAGTTCGTTAAGATCTAGACTATGCAAATGTCGAGGGGAGTGCTGGCTCTTAGTCTTGCTCTAAGAAGGTAATTAGGCATCTTTTCTGATTCACAGTCTAGTAAGGCTGATTTTCATCCCAAGTAAGGTGGTTGAAACAATAATAAAAATTGAAACTAATAGACATATGGATCAATAGGATATTATAGGGATTTGTGGCAGAGCTTTTGTTGCTTTTGTTGGCAGAACGCATGTGCTAGAGCTCTGTGGAAGAGTCAGCAAGCATTTGAATAAGGTTGGTCTGCTTCATAGAGTGTATTTGAATTTTGAAAAAGCTTTTGACAAGTGCCCTCACCTAGGTTTCTTAAAAAAAAAAAAAAAAAAAAAAAAGCCCTTAAGCTGTCATGTGTCCTCTAGTGATTTAATAACTGGTAGGAAATAAAAGGTCAGATTTGACAATGCAGCAAAGTTAGCAGTGGTGTCATATGGAGGTCCCGTGCTGTTCAGTGTCATCCAAAGTTGTTTGGACAAGATGGTGAATCAACACATTCAATATTCAGAGGTGCCAAGGATAAAACTAAGATTTGACTCCTACTTCTACTAAGCTCTATGCTCTTGGCCATAGCAAAGACAGTAACTGTCTGTAGTCAGCCAATTCTTGCAGTTATTGATGATTTGAGCCCAACGAGCTTTTGCTTAACCACCATCAACCCCTTGCATGTCACGCAGTTCTGCTGGTAAAATTGCCATCTGGCCTTTATGGGTATTGGATACCTTTGTTAATAGCCACTTACTGCAGCAGTGAGTCTCTCTGTATCTTTTGCAATTTCTACTTAAAATTTCTGATTATTTTCTGTACTGTCTGGGAAGGTGGAAAATAAATGTCTCATTAATTCCTTTTA